GGTAGTCTTGGCCCATCTTTGATTGTCTTGACCATTTGCACTGCTTGCACGCACCACTAGTGGTCATGGCCAAGATTACCAAGATGACCCCCCAGACCAAAAATTCTCCCGACCAAGATGACAAAGATGACGCGTAATCAGGCGACCAGGATGACGCCAATATGACGCCTAAACATGCCCCCCTTTAGCGTTTACTCGTTGAACATCGTTGACTCTCGTTGTCAAGATGAACAAGATTACGCGTCAGCTTGCCCAGCATGACGGTTCTCAATTCCCGGCACACTGTAACAGTAGCGCTGTTGCATCCGCCCCGCTGCTCGTCCTCCCGTTTCGGTTCCAGTTGGCAGCTCGAAAACACAGGGTTTTGGGATGGCTTGTTTCTCGCAACTTGAATTGTTGTGCTCTGATTTTTTGCATACTGACTCGCCCCGTGAGCATGCCGGTTCGAGTGGCTCATTCCAGCGCAGGATTTGGACTCCGCCATCCGCCGTCGCTTCGAGAAGCGAGTGTACATCCCGCTGCCGGCCCGCAACTGAAATGCAGGTGCCGTCCATCGGCTCAATAATGCTATCGCATACTGCTTTGCTTGCAGCATTCGCGGCTTTGAGGATTTGGAGGCGCGGGTTCGGCTGCTAACACTGCACCTGGGTCGGTTGCTTAGCATCATGTCAGTGTCAAGTATGGTCCGAAGAGGTCAGAATTCGTCACGGTCAGACTTGTCAGCTTGACGGAGAATTGCTTCGTTGTTCAATTCTTCGTCTGTCGCCAAGGAGACACGCCACACAGCTGTACTCCCGAGGACCATGCTGAGAGTGCCTGCGTGTCCCTGAAACCTCAAGCGGTTTTATGATGTCTCAAGAGTGAGAGGCACCAGCCTTACAAATAGGGGGCCTGGACATCAATGCAGCGGTTTTTTGGAGGGAGCCGACATTTATTAAACCGCTTGTCATCAAAAGTTGGATTTCGGTTATGGCTGAAACTTGCAGCCGTTACTGCATCAGGGAGGAATGCAAGACACACGAGGCCCAGCAAAACTACTGTGCACCTGAAGAGAGACAGATTCATGATTTCGATGGCTACCCAGCCTCCCCCACCCCCAACCTCCTGGTACGCCCGCTCTCTCCGTTGCTGCGATGCTGGTGCGGTTGGATGTTGAATGTGAAGTAATGTGATGAGCCAGCTGTGTTGTTTCCCTACGCTGATACGGTGATGGCATGTGGGAGGCCCGCAATGGCTCTGTTTCCCTTCCGTTGAGGGTGCGCGATGTTTCCATGCTTGGAGCCCGACTCGCCAGCTTTGTTCCGTCCTTCTAGCAGTAGCCTAGGCCGAATAGCTTGCCTCACTGGCCCCGCCCCTCAAACCATTCGAAGTCCTCCGATGGCACAGAGCATGGTAAAGCCAAGGGGGCGGTTATCCCATTCGAGTCAGTGATTGTGACTAGGCTTACACACAAACTGGATGGCAGGCTATCCGTGGAATAGCCGCCCAGACGGACGGTTACAGTGGCAGCTTGTTGGCATATGTTGGCATGCCAGTTCAACTCGCTGCGAATTCAAGATAGTAGTTTAGTCGCACATCTTGTCGTGGGGCAAGAAGACAGAATTCAGGTGCTGACATCTCTATCCTGACGAGGGATGCCCTTTTCGAGTGCCTTGGTTCATGCAGATTCCATGCGAGGCCTGCATCGTTGGAGTCGGTCGACCTGCATAGCTTCTCCACCAGCGCTGGCATGCCTTCACTTCACTTGTTACACTTGCAGCTTGCTGGTACTTGCTGACCTTTCAAGCTTGCGGATAGAATTGTCCTGAAATAGACAGAAACTGCCGCATCTCCTGTGTAGCTGTATGACATTGTTGCTGTTGACTGTCAATGTCATCACGGACCACGAATGTTGGTTGCTAAGTGCTGTCACGAGTGACCCGACGAAAGTTGCACCGGCTAGGATCCATCGGCGCTGACAGAAATTCATGGGATTTGTTCGAGACATGTCTTGCGTTGACTGTCTGCACCGCCAGAAGCTGATGCCTGAAATACTTATGAGTTATGGGCGTTTTTTACACAACCCAGTCGAGTCGAAGTGCAGATGCTTATGCACTTCCAGCCACCGCGGACCCCGACAAAAAGGCGGTAGCAATACAAGCAGCTGCTAAACTCTTGCTCATTACTTGGCGACAGAAGTTGAATTCATGAGTTCTTCGTCTGAACTAGGAGGTTTGCCGGAACAAGCTTGTGACACATGCACATGCTCTGGGTTGGAGCTCTTCCAGCTTCTTATTTTCTGGTCTGGACAATGCCTTTGGAGCTCTTGGAGCTGCATGCTCTTGTGTTGCGTTCGTGTCCGGTTGATTCTGTTAAAGCAAGTCTTGTTTTGAAAGAACCCGACACATGTTCGCATGCACGTGGTGCATGCGTTTGTGAACTTATGGCTGCTGACTTCTATGTGTAAGGAAGCGGCACAGCACAAGGCAGCCATTTTCGCCAAAAGATTCGACAAGGCAGTCAGGCGAAAGCGCTCACCGCAGAAAAATCTTGACGGTGAGTGTTCCATAGTTGTTTGTCTTCTCTCGGGGTTCTGTGCTTTACAAAAGCGCGGACCTGCTAACTAGGACGCTCTCAGCCCGCGTTTCGAAGCTATAACAAGCAATGGCATGTCGGGGTCATGGCGGGGCAAAAGGTTCGAGCCGTCGCTCTCACCGTTTTGCAGGAAGCACCACTACAGTCACTACAGAGTGGTGGCAGATTGGTGCGACTTTAGGCTTGTTTTCCTGTGAACAAAATGCTTTGTTGAATGATGCCAACCTCACATATCTCAGATGGGCCGTTCCCCTCATGTAGAGTTGAAGAGTCTATGAGGGTCTGAAGCCTTGTCAAGCAAGTTGCACGCATTTGTCCTGACAACACACTATCTTTTCCTCCGGCGAGTGCACGTGCACAACAGCCCCTTGCGAAGCGGTGCTTGATTCGAGTCCTTTGTTATCGGGTGTGATACCATGACATGGTGCTGACTCTTTTGCTGTCCTGGTTTCTATTCGTGATGAGCATGGCAGCTTTCATGCAGCTTTTCTTGGTGTCCCTAGGCGGGGCAGTCAACAATGCTGCCGTTTGTTGTAAGATTTGGACCTGTTCACGATGTCGCGGGCTGCGCGAGGTCATGCAAAACTTTAACCGTTTTTTCGGCGATTGGGGACATGTCGAGTGGAGAAGACGGCAGTTTTTGAGTGCCAATGCTACCAAGCGCTGCTGGGGCCCCTACATCTTCGAACTACTCGACGCTATGGCGATTGTTTTTCGCTCCGTCGAAAGGTTTGAGTGTCGAGCGGAGCATCCGCAAACTGGTACCACTCTGGATTGACAAGAAGTTGCCCGAGGCCAGTCAGGAAATGCCAACGAGCCAGAGCGTTCAAGCGCGTCGAGAGGGTCACAGGCAGGACGTTGCTCAACCAATGAAATTAAGGTCTCGCTGCTTGCTTCCGTCCGCAATTCCTTGGTGTCAGGACTGCTCGTCATATCTCGTCATTTGCTGGGAAATACCTGCAACAGTTGCATAGCGCACGACATGCTAAGCCGCCAAGCAGCTCGGTCCCGGGAAAATGTGCATGTAGATATTTGATTTCTTAAGCGAATCGAGCCTTTCGTTCTTTGTCAAGAGTTGGCTGCTGTAAAACTCCATAACAGAAAGAAGTAAGGTAGTTGAACGGGGCAAATCCAAACCTCATCACCTCGGGTTGACGGCGATACCGAGAGGCGATGGCAAGCGGAGCTTCTGGACACCGTGCAGCCCTGGGGAACCTGGGGCTGTGCCCATGACTCTCATGGAGGCGCAAGTTTCCAAAGACTGCACCGCAGACCCGCAAGCAGAGCCTCTGCATCTCTGCACGAGGTCCCGGCATCCGAGCTGCTGTCGAATTCCTGGCATGGCTTTCCTGGCTTTGCTGGCACACAGTGACACTTGAGACATTGCATGACGTTGCCATGCAGCCAGGCCAGATGTCGAAGCATCCGACTTTGAGGCAACGCTTCGCTGGAACATGGCGCCGACACGGAAAGAGTATGGAAGTCGGAAACGTTTCCCCCCTCCAATTCTTAATTTTCGACATGGTTGCAACGTCAGTGCGAGTATCCTTGGATGCGGGGGTTACTTGGGCATCTGCAATGATGTTGGAGAATGCCGGCTGAGCGAACGGAAGCACTGGTCGTCCGAGGAGCGGAGCTTGTCGGAATAACGTCCACAGGTTGCAAAGCGGGTGCTCTGAGATGCAAAGCCACGCGCGCTGCCATGCCGCGCAGGTGGCGTTGGAGAAAGTGCGCCCGAGTGTCAGCCCTGGCGATCTCAAGTCACACGAGGTGCGCGGCCGATGCAGAGCCATAAGCAGAGCCCAGCCGCCACGCGAGTGTACCCGGCGCAGGAATTCACCTCGATGTTCGGAATGGAGGGCTGATTGCAGCAAAGTAACATCCTTGTTTCACTTTTGACAGCTTATGCAACCTCAGCAGGCGGCGCTTGGCTTTGAATTAAGCCAAGTTGTCTGCCAAGCATGGAGAAGTCTGAATGCTGAACATAGAATCGCAAGTCGCAAGTACAGGGACAGGTTGCAGATAATCCTTATAGTTTGCTCGATTCGTTCTAGTCTGGCTGAGGAGTCGGACAGATAGATCAAGTACAGATTTCTATCCTCATTCGCCTGTGGTACTGTGGCATCTGTATAGCAGGGTTGACAGATCGATTCTCTCACATTGTTGGTAGGACACTTTCGGTTGTGGTCAAGTCTGGTGTCGCGTTTGACGACGGTCGGAATTATATACTGTGTGAGTAAACACCAGTGTGGACATGGTCGTGCAGCTGTTCATCGAGATGCTACGTGGCCACGGGCTGAACGCGCACGTTGAGGTGCCGGCCCTGCTGGCGAAAATAGAGCTTGTTCGCGTGTAAGCATGAGAACGGTGGACGCCATGGAAACCCATCTATGAGCAACCGCGTGCCGATTGTCTTTTCGATCTCCATGTTTTGGGTTGGCCGTTTCCGGTCCAGGCTGTGCCACCTGTCGCCTACTGGTGCTCGTAGGAGAAACATGCAACACGCTGCAGCATCCCAATGGTTGAAGGAGCTGGTGGTGCGGCTTCCGGCTCAGCTACGGGAAGGTCTAGTGGCACATAGAGGCTTTCACTGCCCAGAGCTGCTTGATAAGCGTCCCTTGGAGTGCACTTTGCCTGCGCTGGCTTCAGCGTGGGATGCTGGAGTCAAGCTTTGCGAATGCGATGTTCGACTAAGCTCGGACGGCGAGATTCTTCTGTTTCACGACGAAGCCCTGGATCGGCTGACGGCAAGGACCGGTATGCCAAAGATCGCAGAGATGACTGCAGAAGAGCTCATGCAGAGGCCATTGCTCCAAGGAGCTTGTATTTGTTCTTTGCAGGAGACCCTCCAGACTGCACTTCGCAAAAAGGGTAAACTGGTCATTGAACTGAAAGGCTTTGATGATGGTGGTGTTGGACGCGCAGTGGCCGTACTCCTGTCCTCGCATCCAGAGCTGGTTGGAGCATGTGCACTGGTCATGTCCTTTGAGCTCGAGCAGTTGCGGGGCTTCGCGCTTGCCTTCGAAGAACAGCGAAAATTGAGATCAGGGCTGCAGCGCCCGCAGCTACTACTGCTGACGTGCGTCCCGCGGCCAGGTTTGGAAGCAAGGTATCAAACTCTTGATTTGGGAAGCTCTTCGTATATGGAAACTGTTGTGGAGCACCTGGAACGAAAGGAGCGGGGCGGGGTGCTCCATTTAAGAGAAGCACAATGCGGCAATCCGTCAAGAAACTGCTGCATCACTTTGGATGATGAACGGCTGACTTCTAAATCTGGGCTAGCTCAAATGTAAGACATGCATAGACATGCCGTGGTTTGCGACTACTAGATTGCATAAGGCAGACTCCGAGAATGCCCGGCAGGGCCGCCACACGATAGTAGAGTCGAGCGGACTCATCACTTGCGAAACTTGTGAATGTTAAGATCCCATCGTCTTAGTGCTGTGCCACTTGCCTTGGCAGGACTTGTGCCTTGACGGATTTTACATGGAATGGACTGAACGGCTGACCAACATTGATAAGGAAGCCTTGCGCCACCTCTGTCCCTCGGCGAGACTTTGACTCGTGTCAGTGTGTAACTTCGAGACCATCTTGCACGTCTGATTCTTCTTTCACCGATGAAAGTGAAGTGAAGCGGAAGCCTGCACTCTCAGGTCGGCGTTGCACGGTAGGTGTGTGGCAGCGATTCGGACAGACAGACTGCGAGAAGGAGGCGTGCTGATTTACCAGTTCCAAAGCCCGGATTTAGAGTGAATGAGGCCCCGAAAACCGAAACGCGAGCCAGCTTCATCCTGAAGCCCCGTTTTTCTGAACTGGTGAATTAGGCCCTTTCACGAAGATGTGTGAACTTTTACAGATTAACTCAAGACTCCGTCTTTGTGCAAGGACTTCTCGAGAGAAGGGGAAGTTCTCCCCGTACAGACTGCGTGTATGGCCTTGCTTTGTGTTGTTCAATCCCCGTGCGCGACGATCTAAAGGGTCATGGCTCTGACTTCCGGGATGCTTGTTATGGTCCTTCTCCTGGTTGATCTGTTTATCGTGGCACTTCATTCCCTCTACGGCACATAGGTGTGCGCACATGTGGGTGCGGATGAGTGTGTGCCAACCCCTGCCTCTCACAGGCAGTGCAGCTCATGGAGTCAGGAGTGATGTACTGCAATTCCGACTTGCCTGATGACTTCCTGTCCAAAGGGACAGGCTGCTGAGGAGCAAAAGCTGGTGTCAGCACGTATGTGGTGCGGGAGGTCGGCGCCGCGTCAAGATCGCATCACATGCTTTGCGCAGCTGTCATGATTTCAGCAGCACCTGAAAGCCTGTCACTGTTACAGCCAGTTCTTGCAGTTTTCTAGCAGAGCTTGCAAGATCCCTCATCATGGGGTCATTCCGCAGCACCTTACCCATCCGACCTATCCATGTTGTCAGCTGCCATGGTATGAGCAGACTATGAGGGATGCCTCCTACATGGAGCCCGGCCCAGCGCCAGACGGCATCACCGAGGCCCAACATCGCATAACATGTGTATGACATTGAACGCACAAGAGATGTTTGCTGGGGCGTGATGATGCCAAGATGCGACTACGTCCGTCCGACAGAAAGGCGAGCGTTTGAATCTTGATTCGCCATTCTAGCCAACAAACAGTCGCTGTTGAAAAGCATGTACGTCGGTATTGATAGATAGACATATGCATATGTGTGTATATATATATATATTTGTATACACACATAGTTATTGTGATCCAGGGCCTGAGCCCCGCCCCACCCCATGGTATGCATCCCCCGCCCACTATGGCGTGGTGCCAGCGGTCTTGCTCTCGGCTCATTCGCTGGGGCCTGTGGGGTGGTGCCTGTGGAAGCGTAAATCTAAGTGTTGTGTTTGCTCCAAGCATGTCACCAAGTAGAAGCTGCATTTGTGGTGTCCTTGGCCTCGACAGACTGAGCATGTCCAAAACAAGCACTTCGAATGTAAGACAATGGAAGTGGAGTGATCTTGCACGCATGACCGTGGTTTGAGTGCTTGATTTAAAGGATGCCTCGGAGCGCACCGGTGCAGAGGCAAACATCTCTAGCAGGACGACAGGCAGAGCGTGACAGCCCATGACCATGCTACAGAGTCTTCAGTTCGCTGTGGTGGAAGATGGTGGAAGCCTGTCACTGTCGGAGGGCAGTGGCACTGCTACATCTGCACGCCAACCAGCAGGGTACCCTGGCTGTGTGGGCGGAGCCAGTCCATCGGGGTCCAAAACTGCGAGTGATAGGGGCATGAGAACATGCTGAAGCACCGACTTGCGGTGTTTTCAATGTTCAATAGTGGATCACAATGCAACATCGGCTGAACGGAGAACTGTGGCAACTGATTGGTGCTCGCCTTCCTTCTAGCTTTGCAGGAGAGGTGAGGAGACAGGGAGTGTGAGCAGCAAAATAGCACAATTCGCAAATGGCTGCATCCATGTTCGGGTTCCCTTCAAGGCGAACGGCCTGACTCGTCAGGCTATGTTTCTCGATCATTGTGCATGACCTTTTATGATGTTTTATGTCGGAAGGGTTGTGAGAACAAGGGAAAGAGAGGAAAGACGCAGAGCTTCACAGAGGGAAGTTCCATGGCGCTGCGTGTCGTTAAATCGTCTAGTTATGTCTAGTTGACCTTTATTGGGAGCTCCGCTCAGGCCGCGGCTCGAAGCTTCGAGGCTCGAGGGCTCAAATGGGATCATCTTTTCTGCCTTTCGCATCCCTTCGCCTTTGGTTGCAAGTTCTTGTCCGACATCCTGCGCGGGGTCCGGGGGCACTGGAGCCGTTCCAATGAAGTTGGGCACCCAACGTAAGCTCCTTCCACCTGTGTGAAAGTTCGGAGGGGAGCTCGTTGCAGGGGTCTGATGGCGTCTACTAGAATAGTATCGACATCTGTCGAGGCGAGGCATAAGAGCTGGGCTGGAACCTATTCGAGAAAACACGTCTGCTGCTGCACCAGCCGTCATCGGAGCTCAAAGCCGATACGGAGCGACTTGCCGAGATAATTGTTGACTTTGTTTGGGCTGCTGACCGGCGTTCCAACTACGGTAGCTCACTGGGAGAGAAGTCATGCCGCCAATTTGCAGAAACATCGCTCTGAGTATCGCTCTGGGTTGAACTCTGCAAAAGATGCAAAAGTCACGGAGAAAAAGCATGCTTTGTAGACTTTGACGGCTGTCGACGTCAATCTCCTGCAGGCCTTCGGCCCTGTTGCACCCGGATGGCTTCAGCGGTTTCAGCCCTCGGCGTACAGCGATGACGAGCCGATTCGTGAGTGATGGGAAGAGGAATCCACATCAAACCTTCTACGCCTGAGGTTCACAAGAGACCGGCCAGTTTCCACGTGGTCTCCTGAGCTGAACTGTTACGCGTGCCTTTGGCCAGTCCGGGCTTTGCAGATGCCAGAACTGTGAGATACTCTGGATAGACAAGAAGGAATGCAGTGATCTAGAATGAGAGTCGTAATGTGATGCGGCTTTGAGGAAGAAGTGTGCATATTTCCAGGCACATCGAGGTCGATTCAAGACGGTCTTCTGAGCAAGGAAGGTCGCCTCCTTGAATGCAGCGATCTGTGATGGATCCACTGTGCTAGCCTCTGCTTGCTTTGGAGACGGTAGTACTGGCCAAGGTCTGCAGATCCTGCGTTGGGCTCTGCCATGCCTATTCTTGCTCGGGGGCCTTTTTGCAGAGAATGTCCGCTGCTCAGAACTTCGACATTGTGGCCTCGTCAGACCGATACTGCGAGAGCATGTGAGAGCTGGTTCATGCACGATGACTTGCAGGCGCTCTGCATCTCGTGAACGGAGGGCGTATTTTTTCGATCGTCTTTTGTGTCTGGTACTTTTTACTTTTTGTCTGGCGTGGCGTGCACAGGAAAGAAGGAAGACACGACATGAATATACATAAAAAGGGTGCATATGTATATCATATATGTATATACAGACAACATACGTGTGTGTGTGTGTATGTGTGTATTATATATACATACATATGTGTGCATACATTTATATAATGCTATCTCGCACAAACTGACTTGTTGCATCTTGTTGCATAATCAGTGTGTATATCTAAATACATACATCTGTATATATATATATACACACATGGAAATACATACTCATACAATCATACACACATAGACAAGTATGCAGAATCAGACGCACGAACGAAGCAGTTACCTGCAACATACTTAGTATCACGTATTCGAACCGCACCTGCACGTTTTGTTCGTTTTTGTTAGAATGAATACGCAGTCAATCGCAGGTCAGTATTGGTTGAAGAGTTCACAGTGTTTGGCCTCATGCTTGAATTTCAGCAGTGGGTACTCGTATGATGCACATACGTACGAGTTACTACATACTCGCAATTACAATACATGAGCTTTCGCCTCTGTTATAACTGATTCGCAGTTGTTAGTGCGCCAACATGTGTTGAACATGTCATGATGATTTGTCTGATAGAGCATATTCACTGGAATAACAAGCTTATCGCAGTCATACAAACGAGAACCAGTCAGCAATTAAATGAGTCCTATTTCATGTTTAAGTAGTAGCCAGCGCTTACCGCATTCACGAAGGGATCAAAAACAGTTCGGACCTCGAATCGAAGATTCCTTAGTGACCAAAATGCTGTTTACATAACCACAACAAGGCGTGCTCTCATAATGTAGTTTATTGCATACTTAGACATTGTGTCAGCTACCGCAGAAAGTTTGTTTAGCTCGAAACTAGAGTTAAACAGACACCGGTTAACAAGCAGCTGTGTCGCTGTAGAATTTCAATACCCTCTAATGGTCGAATGTGAATGAGCAATCGTTTATTGTTAGAGATTTATTGGATAGATCCGCAGTTGTTAGCGATGGAATGTTGATTAAGATTTGTGTCAACATCACATGGCACACGAGTAACACTTGAAGGCTGATTGACATCTTGTCCGTTCTGTTAAAACGGGAAGTGAACGTATACAGCGCAAACGGGAACATCGCGTATTGAAAGCATATGTGTGTAAGAATTAGTTACTAACCTGGGACTGTGAAGCGCAGCCTAAAATTAGTGTGAATGCCTTTTCCTAGGCACCCGTTCGTCCAACATTGAGTTTTTCAGCTAACTACAGATTTGTACAAAAAGAAGCATACTATGGTCAAACCAGAAGAGAGTATATACCCGAAACAACATAGTTCAGATATTCCACAGATGCGAATGCGTTTAGGGCCGCAGCCTGACCAGCATCATGAGCATAAACCATCTGCACCACGTCGCACTTTTGCAAGAAAACTCCAAAACAACGTTGTACTGTCACAAAAACAACCTATCGTTTTTGTCACACTGCTGTACTGCCCCCAAAAAGTCCCCCCCCAAAAAAAGTCTTTTCCAGTCTTGGAGGGTAGCTGCCCAGGCCTCCGAAAAGATTAGGTCTTTTTCAGGGGGCAGTACAGCACTTTTGCAAGAAAACGAGCAACATCGCTGTACTGTCCCAAAAAACCAATCTTTTTTTGCAAAACTGCTGTACTGTCCCAAAAACCCAGAAACAACAGTTTTTTCAGGTCCTGGGACCTCGTGGCCATTGGTTTCTTTGATTTTTTGGACAATACAGCAGTCTAGCGAAAAGATTGGTTTTTTTGGAACAGTACAGCATTATTGTTCGTTTTCTGGCAGAAATTGCTGTGCTGTCTCAAAAAAACAATCTTTTTATGAGGCCTGGGAAAAGATTGTTGTTTTTTTGGGTCAGTACAGCACTTTGGCGAAAAAACGATTGGGAAAGTCCTGCATTGCTTCAGAAAAACCAATCGTTTTGGAGGCCTGGGAAGCCAGCCTCCAAGACTGGAAAAGATAGGTTTTTTGGGGACAGTACAGCATGTTTGCAAAAACTAAGATAGGTGTTTTGGGGACAGTACTGTGTTTTTGCTAGTTCTCTTGCAAACGTGCTGCAGTGTCCCAAAAAACAGGTCTGGGGAGCTGCCTCCAGGACTGGAAAAGACTGTTTTTTTGGGGGGGGGAGAGGGGCAGTATAGCACTTTGGCCAAAAGCGATAGATTTTCTTCAGAACAGTACAGCGTTTTTGTTAATTAGCTTGCTTGCAAAAGTGCGACGCGGTGCGGATACCCATGATGCTCTGGTGCATGCTCTGAATGGACCCTGCAAAGGCCTCCATAAATCTTTTCCCCTCCCTGAAGACAAAATGCATGTACCTGCGATTTGGT